GGTCCGTCCCTCCCATGAAGATCGGCGGTTGATGTGCCTTGAACTTCTGGAGATGACTGGAGCTTCCTTGGCCCCCACTTGTACCCGTCTGTGTGATAGTGGCAACTACAGCACCAAGAGCCTCTATGAAAGCTTGTTGATCAGCAGTAGGTGGTGGTTGGTTATTCCGCCCACCGCCTCGACCTCGGCCGCGTCCTCTTCCTCTTGTTGCCATCTACACACATGTCAAATGACAATAGAATATTCACATCAAATAACATTCCAATGTAGGGATCAAACTTGAAACATTTAGATTTTATCTCCTTGTTTTCCTAGTAGAGTCTATAGCATCCACTAGAAAACATTTAAACTTGAACTATTCTGTTCATTTTTTTTTTCAACTTCCAAGGTTATGTTTTCTAACCCTAGCATTTTTTTTTCATGTGCCTTTTACCATGCATATCATTCACATAATCACCTAGCAAGTAATTATGTTTCACATAACACGTTGCACAAAATATGTAATAATTTAAGCACATAAGATGAGATGAACAATGCATGCAATGGTCTAGTCCCAATGCCCAACAAGCCTTAGGTAAATTGTATAACTTAAGCTCTGATACCAAGCTGTGACACCCCAAAATTCGGGGGTCCGTTGATTATTCATCAACCCGCGGAATGCTCGTGGATACTGAGTAGCTCGATATCTCAACGTTATGCCCCATTTACCGGGGTCCATCATTTATTAAAAATTTGGGCAGAGTCTCCTTTGTAAGGAGAACTCTATTCAAAACACAACTTGTGCATTATATAATAACAAGACCCATCTGAGGTTCTATATTCAACAATGACCACACCGGGTCCATTTATAAGTAAATATTTGTCACACTGGTCCAATTATCCATATTCATACAAACATGCAAGATTATATTAAAACAGTCGATATAGATTCTATCACAATTCCTTTACACATTACATGTCAAAATTTAATTACAAGTCTAATTTTACAAAAGAAATGGATTGAAAGTCACAAGTCGGCTTTTCTTCCTCCTTAAGTGCCCGAGTAAGTGTCATCCCTCGGCGTATGACCCGTACCTGAAATGTTTCCCGTATAGGATGAGCCAACGCCCAGTAGAGAAAAACTCCTACTAGGGCTATTCCCCACCTTAAATGCATATGCAATGTGTATAAGCAACATTTAACATTTAACAATCATTCATACAAGAATATGTATTCAATGTTAAAATACAACCATGTCATGCCATGAAATAAGATGATACTCACTCATGCACTTAAACCCAAGTCCTCACTGACTTCCACAACACAATGCAATGCCAATGTGTAATGACCCGTCTTCGACGAAAAATACATCCAATGATCACTTTGAATAAAAAATCATGCATTTTATAAATTAGATCATTATTGGATGGTACTCATTAAATGAGTATTTTCTTAAAAATCAAAATCTTGTGTCTTGTTGGGCAACGAATTTTGGATTTTATACCGCTGGTTCCGTATACCATACTACACTTTTCCGGAATTTCACCACAGGGGAGTGTATAATCAAGTCGCCGGGTCTTGCACCCGATGGAGAGTCTAGCCCTACTTGCTATACCCAACACAAGTTTTTTTCCATGCAACCATGCGACTCAAAAGGGATCTTCGATCCACTTTTTCCCGAAGCCACATACCAACCACCAAACAAGGTGTTTGATCAACCATGCATCTCACACACCCACACTCATGACTTATGCCCATGAATGTGATGCTTCTATGCACAATAATACAATGTTCAATATGCTATGAATGACATATGAACAATCTCAACATATCATGATAAGTTATGTTCTAAGCATATAAATACCATATTTGTCACAAATTCAATATATCATAACATGCATATACCAACAATTGCATTTTCAATCATAAATTATGTCATAAGTCCATAATTTCACTTTCATAATCATAGGCAAGTGATATCACAACTTTTAGGCTAATAACACACCTAATCATTAAGGCATAATATAACACATAACGACCCATGTAATAGCCCACGTAACGGTTCTTATCTAAAGCACAAAACAGCCCACAAAATAGCCTAAAAACAGTCCGCAAAAACAGTCCAAAAACAGTCACAATTTCAGCCCAAGAACAGTCACAATTTCATTCCATAACATGGCCTAAAAACAGTCCATAATTCAGCCCTTTAACAGCCCCTTAAACAAACCAAATTCAGCTCCTTAATAGTCCCTAATTAGTGCACAAAACAACCCTTAATTAGTGCACAAAACAGCCCTTATTTCAGCACCAAAACAGTCCATTTGGACAGCCCACATATAAACCAATTTCAGCCACTAAAAGCCCACTTAAGGTAAGAACAAAACTAAGGTAGGAGGGAACCCTATCTCAATAAAAGTGTAAGAACTTCTATAACACTAAATCAACCTCCAAGTTTTGATTTTTCTCAAAGTCTCATCTTGGATTTTCGGTGAAATTCACTCTTTTTGTACGTACGCATAGCCCTCGTCGAGGAGATGAACTTTGGCTCTTGGTCCGAGTTGATCCGAGCGACGGAACTCCAGATATTGAAGAAAGAAGAATTGTTTTCTCTCTTTTCTCTCCAACGTGTGAACCAGCAGAAAACCAACAGAATACAGAGATATCTCTGCTGAAATATATAATATTTAACACTAATTATAATTTCCAAGACATGGCCCGAGTCGCGCCACGTGTCCCCCACTTGCTCGATCCGTTTTCGCTCTGAAACGATTTAATTTGGTACCAGTTTAAGCTCAAAATATTTTATATAAAATTTATTTAAAATATTTTTCAACTTTCAATTTTTTTTTTAAATTTCGTTTTTGGGGGTTACCGGACACCCGTCGCCTCGAAAAATGTAAAAAACTTGACTATTTCGAAATTCGATAAAAATTGACAGGGCAGCTAGATTTCATGATGCGAATCCAACGGTGAGGTCCGTTTCATCACCCGAGGTCTAGAAAAATACCAATTTTTTAACCCGCGCTATAATGGCAAATTAACATTTTGCTTTTTTTTCAGAAAAAGTTAAAATTTTTCCCAGGTTTCACAAAATTAAACCAACAAAATCATCAACGATAAACAATAATTGGTATACCAGTGAGAGTTCTTCTGGAGGTTAGATCACTGTCAATACAATTTGGATGAAATAGAGTGGATGGTCGGAGTAGATAAGTCCAGTGGGTCTCCAAATTATGTCGTGCGTCGCTGAAGAAGGTCTGTCAATTGTTGGAGTCTGCACAGAGAGATGAGAGATTGAGGAGGATGACAATAATTTTTGAAAAACTAAGAGAGGTGAGACGGTTAATGAGGGAAAGAGAAAGAGTTTAGGTTGTGTGTTAGACAAAATAGGTAGCATGTGGGTGTAGTTAAATTGGGTGAGATTCAAAGGTGGAGCCACCCTTGGACCAGGGTGGGCACGTGCCCCCCTCAATTTTATTTTTTTTTTTTGACATTAGAAATATATTTTTTAAAATAAAATTTAGATATATTTAATTGTGTCCACCCTCAAATTTTTTTACAATAAATATATATTTTTTAAAATAAAATTTAGACATATTTAATTGTGTCCACCTTATTATTGAATTATTGTGATATCGATTAAAATAAACGACTATTTAAATAATAATTAATTTTTAAATAATGTTATTGAAACTAATACATTATAATATTAAATTTAATAGTGAGTTACTACATTTAATAATGTTTACTGTCCATCCAATGGTCACAAATCATTGGGTTCCAATCAATTAAATTTTGAAATTTTTTTTTGGTCAAGATATAAAATTAAATTTCAAATTAGATGCAATTACTATTATTCTTAAATTTTAGACACAGACATGTTCAAATAATTTTTAGATATATTGCGTTCATTTTTAAATTATAAGATTATTTTATTATTATATAAAAATGAGCATCATAATGTAATAAATTACAGGGTAATAAATGAAAAACTGTTATTACCATTTTGTATATAGAAAAAAAAGTATTTATTAATATAATTAATTAGTAATTCTTTTAAATGATAAATAATAATCAGATTTAATTGTAAAATGATAATAATTAGTCTTATACGAAGTTTTAATTAATTTTATTTTTGTTCAATCCATGCAAATCATTTTTTAACCTTTTATTTTTAATGAATTTTTACGTATAATTATAATAAATATGAATTTATGAACTTTCTATGGTCAATTGAAAAAAAAAATACTATTTAGATCTAATTTGATGACATAATTCAATATACCCCTTTAATTAAAAGTAGACTTCATCTAACATTGAAATTTATAACTAAAATAACAGGTATATTGAATTAAGTCATTGGTAACATTGATAAAAAAATAATTAAAATTTATTAATGTGCCCACCTTAAAGTATTTTTCTAGCTCCGCCCCTAGTAGGATTTTATTTTTGTGTGGGATGTGTTGTGAGCTATTGAATTAAGTTTGATGAAATTTAGATCATTTAATTTAAAATGAATTCAACCTGAGTTGTTATTACTTTTTTAAATTTAAGATAGAGATGTATGAGAGATAGGAGTGTAGAGTCTTACGGTAAGAGGTTTCTTCATGGGCGAGAAAAAAAATTCAGGACTAACTGTAGACTGTTAGATCAAATTGTTTGAGATGATATGAATCGTCTTTTATGTTGGGATTACGTTGTCCGTTGGATGTGTTTATGTTTTATCTCAAAACGATCTGGACCTCTTTTTATCTTTTGGATTCAAATTTCGTTCTACTTTATTATATAAAATTTTTTCACAAATAAGTAGTTTATGGTATACTTTTTCACAATTTTTTCTTGAAAAAATTGAAATAACAAAAAATTGTAGGCCCATTGGGCCGGATTATGGGTTGGCCGTATGGGCTAGTAATGCCAATTGCACACCTTGGGCCGTTCGCTGGCGGGCCGCGTCAGGACGACGGCTAATCGCTGGACATCACAAGCAGGAAAGCCGGTAGTGTTTGTGTTTCAAGCAGTAAGTTTGAGGTCGTCACTGCTGAATCTCTGGAGGAGAAGCAGAAGTGAACGATGCCGAAGAGGACGACGCACACGTACTCGAGCGAGGACGCATTACCGGATGGTCCGGACTCTGATCTCTTCGTCTATTATTGCAAGCACTGCGGATCCCATGTCCTCATCACCGGTTCACTTCTCTCTCTCCTCCCTCTCTTTTTACTCTCTTTCTAGGTTCTCCCTTACTATTTGTTGAAATCGAAATCATGTCAATTGAGCATATCTATCGTATTAATAATGGCAAGAAGCTTAAAAAAAGAGTCTCAATTCAACTCCAGCTTTTATACATAGGATCTGTAAGTCAAATGTACTACTAGGTTTGTTCGTATTTTTGTCTAATTTCATCTTTAATTGCAGAAAATTGATTAAGATTGTCAGTTCATTTGTGCTGCCTGTTGGTTGCTTTGTTTCCTACTTGTTCGTATTTTTGTTTAATTTTATCTCTAATTGCAGAAAACTGGTGCAGATTATCATTCAGATGTTCCATGTGTTGGTTGCTTTTCGTTTCCTATTTTTCAAGCCATTACAAGTAATGGAACCATCACTACAACTAGGAGTTAGAAATGAAGTAATTCCATCTTAATGACTTCTTTTGGTTAGATCTATGCATTTGATGAATACTTAATAATCTATGCATTTGATGGATACTTACATAATAGTGAATTGAATTCAAATCCTGTTTAGAAAGAAAATGGGGCCATCGCTTTCCAGAGTATCCCGACCATTATTATGTGATCTTATCGTAATTACATTGTTTTTTGTTCACTAAAGTGTGAATAAAATGTTATTATGTTGATAAATTTTGTTGATGTGTGAAATTCTTTCATGCATATGCTGGGTCCGTCTAATTGCTCGTGTTTTGTGTTTGTTGTGCTGGACACTTCTAACTGCTTGCATTTTGTAATTTTGTGGAATTAAATTTTGCCAACCTTTGCAGATGATTCCTTAAAACTATGTTTAATCATATTCACTCATTCCATATTATTGCATGTTGAATGAGGCTTTAGCCAAGTTGTCTATGTCTTAACCGGATTGTTCATGTCTCACAACAAGTGTAAAGTTGGATCCTGTTTGATTGGTATGTTATGTTGCTTTTCACCGAAATGACATCTCATCTTTTCATTTTTATATATATAAAAGAAGCATTCAATGCTGCCAGGATTTCTCCATACTAAAACAATTTTGTAGATACCCAATTGCAGAAAATGCCAAAAAGAAAAACTGACAGAGCATACGTATTGGACAAAAAGAAGCATCTTGCAAGGCTTAACATAAATGAGGCTGGAAAAGTTCTATTAAAACGGTAATTATTGGTTCCTTCTTAGTATCTGGTGCAACATTCTTCAGTCCATCACATGGATTCTGTTGACATTAAGCATAATGTTCTGAATATTTTTTAGTTTTCCTTTTACCAGCAATGTTGAGTAATGAGAAGAAGAAAATGGAGTGAAAAAGATGTTAGGATGGCTGACTGATATTCAAAGAATTTTTCTGTGGAACTAGTTTCTTGAAACCCATGAATATGTGGAGAATTATGAGTAACAGAAACCTCAGTATTCCAAAAGGCTGGCCTTCCTTTAACTCAATTGTTTTTTTGGAAACATTTTTAGCTCAAGTAATGAGAATTGTTTTAAGATCAATGAAACCAAAAGATTTTTTGGTTTGTTTCTGTTTTTTATAGCTATGAAAAATAATTTCTATTTTTTTTTTAGAAGTCTTCCAAACAGTCATTTGACTGTTGAATGAAGTATTTCTTTGTCCAGTTTTACATGTTGTTCCTCCTCTTGTAACCTGATGGTTGCCTGTGTTAGTAATCATTCACAAGGTGAGGTGATTAAGAAAAGTTAGTCTCTGATTGACCATCATACATTCAGCTTCAAAGTAGTAAAAGGTAGTATGAAACTCATCATTAATGTGTGGTTCTATATTAAAATAGCCCAAGGATGGAAAATTTTACAATTGTTAGGTCATACCTGCTATCATTTTTACTAAAGTGGGCAAAAAGCATACTGAGAGAAAAATCTAGGAGATTGTTGAATTTGAAGTTCTCAAAATTTTATTAAAAAATAGGATAGCTATGATAGTATTAGTTAAAAGAATTTACAGTCACTTTTCACGTGAAATCTACCCCTCAAGTTGTTGACCCTTTGCCTGTGTAAGTTGGCTTTTGTGTCACTTAATAATTTCCCAAACAAGTTTTCTTTTTGGTAATAGCTGATCACATGTTAGTATTTATAATCGATTTCCATCACATCTTTCTGTTGTTTTACCATTACTGCTTCACTGAGGTTCTTCGTAATTGTGGATATTCCTTCCTTACCCAGCGGTGAAGGGAAATTAGAGAAGCAATTCCGCATGAACTGTATGGGTTGTGGGCTGTTTGTTTGCTACCGCCCAGAAGAAGATTTTGAATCTGCATCTTTCATTTATGTTGTTGATGGTGCTCTTAGTACAATTGCTGCTGAAACAAATCCCCAGGTAATTAATGTGATGTCTGTAGCCTCTATACATCATTCAATCATTCATTATCCTGCGTTCCTGATTATTGGTTATTGCGCTTGCAACAATTTAAATGGGAGTTTATGCCAATGATAAGTTTTGGTGGAATGAGTATGTGTAACTACATTACTAGTCCAGTAACTCATACCTATTGTTTATTTCACTGCTTCCTGTCACAGGGTTGTTGCATTACTACTCCAGTAACTTTTTTCTCTGTCATGCTACTGAGGGTCTTATATATTTATACCTTCCCTGTAGATGACAAATGTACTTCCCTGATAAACATGTGAGTTTCTGATTTACACTGCAGGATGCTCCTGTGCCTCCCTGCATATCACAGTTAGAAGGTGGGCTTGTCCAAGTTGCAATTGAAGTGGAAGACCGTGCACAACGATCTGCAATCACTAGTAAATCCAATCATCAATGGCTCCTTCATTTAAATCTCTGACATGCATCATTTCTGTAGCATGACTGTGAATGAGTTTGAGAATTCATGTATAATTTTTAGAATGGGGATCAAATCAACACTTGTTGAGTTGGCATGTCAAACTTCTCCTCTTATTCCATGCGAAATTGAAGCTAACCTAGGTTTTGGCAAAAAACATGCATGTGTCGGGATTTTTTGTAATTCTTCTTGTAGAATCTATCCTTTTTACCATATACAAAGTCAATTTTTCGAGTATACTGTTTGAATTTTGTTGTACTAGTCCATATTATATCATGAAACCAGGCCCCTGCTGCAAGCTTGAAGGTATTTTCTACATCCCCTAAGGGGAAAGGTGCCGGTTCAAGCCCATGTGTCTGGTTGATTGAGCATCATTACAGCACAGATAAGCTATACGGGGCTTGTCATATCAGTAATAGAATGGACTTCATATGGTGGGAAGAATGAACCTCAATGTTCAAATGCCAGACTAGGGGATTAGGAGTTCCATAACTACGGAATTTGAGAATTTCAAAGTGATTTAGGGAAATTGCTGGGAGCATTCTAAGGATCACATTTGAAGTTCGTAAAATTATGAAGTCGTGAAGCATTTACAGTCTTGAAGAATAACGGGCTACAATATTGTTATTACCTGTACAAATTGATTGTTGGATAACATTGCGATGCAGCGACTGCTAGTTAATAAGTTTTTGATACTGCTAATTCTTGTGGTCATTTTTTGACTAACCTTGATAATTATAAACCACCATTCATGGTAATTGGTTTTGAACATTGAGTGACCCCAGTGGTGCAATTTTTGAAATAGAATCTAAACATAGAGTTCCTACAATTATAGTTTTAAGTTCGGTGACTTTGACTGCTGCAGCCTTTGGTATATGTTCTATGATGGGAAGTCATTGTTTCATTCAAGGAGCTGACAAAAATGTACCTTTCCAATGCGCATCATTTTTCTTTTTAATGCTTGCTTAAAATAAAGAGGAGAAACAGTGATTCCTTGATTGGTCGCGCTTAGAGATTTGATTCCAGTTTATATGATAGGTTTGATTGAAGTTTTTTGTTGGGTAAAATGTATCTAATGCATTATTATTGTCCAAAAACCTCATTTTTGTATTTGATGGACTCCAGGAGTAAATGCTGATGATGTTCGAGTGACTGTAGCTGCACCTGCAGCCCGTGGGGAAGCCAACAATGAACTTCTGGAATTCATGGGAAAAGTGTGCTTCATAATTTTCTCTCTTGTGGCTATCAGCTCCAGCTCAATTTTATTTATCTCATTTAAGCTGTCAAGCTGAGCCCATAGAATTTGCTTTTGAATTAGGTGTTGGGTCTGAAACTCAGCCAGATGACTCTTCAAAGAGGGTGGAATAACAAATCAAAGCTCCTTGTGGTGAGTGAATATTTGCCTTTTATTATCTAAAATTAGGTCTCCAACTGTTTGTATGAATTCTTTGTTGTACATGTTTTTTTCGGTTAGTCGTTGATGGAGGTGAAATTAGCAATTCCGCTAAACTACTGAGCTCAACTGTGAATACCTAAATGAAATATTTCTAGAGAATTGTGGTACATTATGACAAGTCCTTATGCATGAGAGTTCATGCTGTTACCTTCAATTCAATGAGGTTATGGTTTTGTGCCAATGGACTTTTCAATGGCATAAGAAAAGCAAAAACCAATACCCCCCATGCAAACAAGATTCCTAGGCTATAATCTGGCCAAGAAATATCTAAACATTTAACCCCAGTAAAGGAAATAACTGAATTATGTTTACACAATATCAACAAACTATGATCTTAAACGCCAAACACCATAGGAAAACCCTTAATGAAATTTGGTTGTAGTAGGAAACTTCCATGATAAGATAGTTCACAATTATGTTAATACATAGGCTATTGGGAACAGGGATGCAGAACGAGCTGTTACCACCGCATGAATAGGATGCTATTGTGATAGCAATGGTTTGGTCAAAGTAATATTATACAAATCAGTGATAAAATGCGAGTAAGATAGAAGAGGACCACCATTAAGCAAGAGAAAGCCTGTTTGTTTTATCCCAATTTTTCGGTGGTGGCCGTGATATCTGCACTCAAATTTTAATTTCTTGCTTTGTACCATGAACATAACAGGCCAATCTACAGATGTTAATCATGCATTTAATTTCTTTATGATGCTATGGGTTATCTTACTGAACATTTAGCGTTTGAACCAGGTGGAGGATTTGACTGCTAGGCAGGTATATGAGAAACTTCTAGAAGCTGTACAACCTTGAGACTTCTCGATGTCCTGAAGTATTTTATGTTCATTTTCTCGTAAGTTTCCCATATTAAGCCACAAACTAAACGATTGATTTCGTATTGGTTCAAGTCTGATTTTGAATCCGTGTGGAAGTTGTAAGGATGCCAGTTTTGCAATTGTGTGCCTGCAGGCGTAGTGATTTTTTATAATGAATTTGGGTTTGAAGATGATTGTGCATGAAATGGTATCTGCCTAATTGCCTATAGGGCATTATATTAAAGTTATAGTGTTGAAAGGTCAAGTTACAACATATTCTATACCTACTTGATCGTAAAATTTCTTGATCGCTTATAAAAATTATAATTTTTAAAGGTTAAATTACAATTAATTAAAATTAATGTTGTGCTAAACTTGTACGGGGAAATTTTTTTTGGTACTTTTAGTTTATTTCCAAAGTTGGACTCAGAATTGGTATGCATGACACGCTAGCAATGCAGCAACCGTAAATAGCCAGAAGCAATATGAACGACTTCAATATACTTAAAAGCTACTCTGCTAGTTTTTACTTTTTACCAGTATGCAAATGTCATAGGTTATGAACATACTAGCAGAGGAGATGTCAATCGAGAGTCATGTTGTGTTGAATTTGTTGTGTTCATATCAATAGTGAACTATAAAACAAAAAAAAAAAAAAAAAACCTCTAAAACAGTGAAATGATCATGCTAAAACATAAGTTCGGAGCTCACAAAAGAGAATTTAGTATTCGAATCTCATGAAATAAACTTTGACATAACAATCCTTTTCGATGGCATCACAAAAATGTTCTGACGAAGCTGAAAACATAAAAGACGTAATTCTTCGCTTTCGGAAATCAAGCAACCACTTTGATTCAAGAAGAAGCTCCACTGCGTAGAGCTTGATTCTTATTGGCCTTCCTAGGAGCCAACTGAGTATCAGGCTGCAAAATGATCCATCATGAGCAACAACACAAAGTCATGAATGGAAAAGCAACTAATGTTCATACAATAGAAGCAGGTTAACTGAATCAATCAAATGCAAGACCAAAACACTCATGAGTATAAAATCCCTTTATCTAGCCCTTTAACCTAAAAAATTATATTAAAATGGTCTAAAAAGCAAAAAAAATATGTAATTATAATTGAAAGTTAAAGTTCTAGAACAATCACCAACATAAAAGTCTTTGGGCCAAATTATATGATTAATCACATTCATATCAAAATATTTTAAGAAAAAAAAAGAGTTAAATGAAAAGTTAGTTATAAGTCACAACTTTCTTACATTTCCTTGTGATTTTTATAAGAAAAAAAAGTTAGTTATTTACGAAAAAATTCAAACATGAAAGAAAAATATTTTTTCTAACATTTTCTTTTTCATGCTAACCAAACACATGAAAATTTTAAAAAATTCTTACATTTTTTATCATTCTCCCGCTAAACAAAAAAACCCAAAAAGAAAAAGAAAAAGAACAATCAAACATAGTATACCTCTTTCGGGACAGCTTCTTCCTTTTCGGATAAAATCAATTCGATGTGGCAGGGAGATGACATGTAAGCTGCAACGGATATAAAGGTCGTATTAATCATACACGAAATATGAGGGTGAGGAAAATACTGAACTCAACAAGGGCAGGAAACCACTCACGGTTGATTCTTCCATGAGCACGGTATGTGCGACGCCTCTGCTTTTGTGCTTGGTTAACCTGGATGTGAGATATGTAAAGCGAATCCACATCCAAGCCCTTAACCTATAGAATAGGTCAAAACCAAAAACGCCTCTTGTTATGAGGCCATAGAGAGATAAATGAAACTGAAAACAATAATACAACCAATAAGAACACATACTTCTGCATTACTCTCGGCGTTCTTCAGTAAATCCAGAATAAATCTTGCCGATTTAACAGGCCAACGTCCTTGTCCATTTGAATGGCGATTCTTTGCCTGAGCAGTGCGCCCAACTCCACGACAGAAGCGTGTGAATGGGATGGCTTGTTTGTGGATAAGAACATCCTCTAAGTACCTTTTAGCCTTGACCAAAGGCAACTTCCGAATAGCATGGGCAGTCTCTCTTGTGTTCTTCAAGTAGATAAATAAGAATTGGAATTTTAGGACAAATGAATACGAGCATACAAAATATATAAACGTGAAAGCAAAAGCAGGTCTCGTATCACTTTCAGAAAGAACAAATCATGCTCCTCTGCTTTATGCAAGGAAAACTAAGGCGTGTGACGTGCTATTGCTATATAACACAATGAAACCTAGTGTAACCATCATAAAATTCAAAATGACGACGACCAAATAGACTAGTGAAATATGCAATCAATAAATAACAAAAAGGGGCATCTGATCGGTGAAGAACTGTTCTTGACTGCCTCATAGCAAATTCAATGATGTGAGGACATGCCTGACAATTTTAAGAAGTGGAATATTGAGAAAAAAAATTAGCGCAAGTGGCAAGATGTTTATATTAAGATGTCTAACATGAAGCTTGTCTCGTGCTCTCCAAATCCACGAAACAAGTATGGAAGAATCTGTCTTGGCTACTTGGAGAAACCAAACACAATGCTCAAACTAAATCAGAACACTAGCAAGGATGTTATGTCTGGAATGCAGTTGGAATGTGCCATTATTTACTGAACGTTCTGTCAATAAAACACAGAAGTTCACCCAAAAACAATGCAAGTGATTTCCCTGAAGTTTACGAGAGACCCGCTCAGAAAAAGGCAGCGGAACCCTGCTTTTGTCATCAGGTTCAGCAATGAAGCAAACAATTGGTAGTCATAAACTCCACAAAATACTGCAAAGGATTAAATCAAACAACCACTTTCAATTCAATGTCATCATCAACCCTAACCATAGACTAACAAATGCACCAATAAACATCAACAATTCTATTCATAATTCTGCTTAATCTACTCAGATGATCAGGTCTAATACAAAGCCACTCATTATCTCAGAGCTGCATCCAAAACTACAGACGACAAAAACCGCAACAATATATTTTTAACTTCAGAGTTGCAAGATGTTCAACACAAAACTTGTCTCGTGTTTCCCAAATCCTAATTTCCCTACTTCAATTCACATTGTAATGCAGAACTTTTATGTTGGCTAGCCAGAGAAACCAAATCCAATGCTCAAATTAGTTCAGGACACTAACAAGGATGTCATAAGAGAATATGTAGCAGAAATTTGTCATTATTTACTGAACCTTACGTCAATAGACCACAAAAAGAGTTTCACCCAAAAACAAGGCAAGTGATTTCCCTGAAGTTTACGAGAGACCCACTCATAAAAAAGGCAGCGGGACCCTGCTTTTTTCATCAGGTTCGGCAATGAAGCAGACAATTCATGATCGTAAACTCCACAAAATAGTGCAAAGGATTAAAGTAAACAAAAAATTTCAGTTCAATGACTAACAAACGCAACAATAAATATCAAATGCTATTCATAATTTTGCTTGATCTATTCAGGTCTAATACACATCCACTCATCCTAGTACTTAAAAATACATCTTTTTTATTATCTATCAGTGAGAAATTAAGCATCCAAAGCTGCAGACGATAAAAAATGAAAGATATATTTTTAACTTCAGAAATGCAAGATGTTTTTAGTAAGATGTTAAACGCAAATCTTGTCCCATGTTTTCCTGAATCCTATAATTTTCCTATTTCAATTCACATTGTAATGCAGAGTATCCATCTTGGCTACCTAGAGAAACTAAATCCGATGCTCAAACTAAATCAGGACACTAACAAGGATGTGAAGAGATAATGCAGCAGAAATGTGCCATTATTTACTGAACCTTCTGTCAATAAACCACAAACAGAGGTTCACCCAAAAACAATGTAAGTGATTTTCCTGAAGTTTACGAGAGACCCGCTCACAAAAAGGCAGCAGATCCCTGCTTTTTTCATCAGGTTCATGAATGAAGATGACAACTGATAATCGTAAGTTCCAAAAACTATACTGCACAGCACTAAATCAAACCACTAATGTCACTCAATGTGACTCTAAATCCTACCCATATACTGCCAAGTGAAATTATTAACAACGATCCCTATTCATACTTCTGCTCAAACTGTCCAGGTCAAATACAATTACATTCGTCTTATAACAGAAAACCCATCTTTCCATAATATACGAGTGAGAAAATAAGCAAGCAACACTACCAATGACACAAAAAAACGCAAACCTAGATGATTAACCAAGAAAAACATGTCAAAATTAGCATAAACTTGCCTTAAAATGAACTCTGAGGTCAGAGCCCCTGGCTTTGCAAGCTGAAACAAGCCCATCAGAAAATAAAGAAAGAAATCAGATTTCGATATTGTTACCACCTTTTGATTACCGATAAAAACGAAAACCCAAGTACTAACATTTGGTGGGATTTTCGGGCTCCCTCGAGTATTTCACCTGAAATTTTGTAGACAGACACAACAGATCGATCAAAACAAACGACAAAAATAAGTTGAATGTGAGTACATGAATATGAATAATTCACATTTCAGAACGGGCACGAAAGAGAGAGGTTTAGGCAGTGACTTTAACGAGACTAACCATCGCTGAAGCAGCTAGTCTTCTGCTGCTGCTAGAAGAATTTGATACCCAAACGAGGAGAAAATGAAGTTAGGGTTTGCGAATTTAAGAGGCGGAATGAAACGATAGTGCTAGGGTTTACATGTTGCGCTTGGATTGGGCTTTTCTGAAACGTTGTTGAATGAAATTGGGCCTTTGTTTGGGCCCAATAAATTCTTTCTCATGCTGCCTTGCCCTTTCAATTTTTGTTTTAAGAGTTAAGCCGATGAAGATGGATGATATCAATTTTTCGGCCTCATCACCGAAAGTGGTTTCCAATTCGGAAATTATAAACAAAAACTTTTCACATCTAATGTTGCCTCAATCCGATCGTCGCCGGATAACACGAGCTCTTCCTTCATTCAAGACGGGTCCAGCTGAATCATAATTTTTTGCATTGCAAGTATAGAATATTATTGAATCAAGTCAGTAGGAGGTGCCAAATGAGTTTGTTCAGTTTGTATCATTTTAAGTTTATAGTGTGTTTGTGTTTATTGTGAAAAATGAAAAATACATGCAAAACTACAGTACCCTTTTTATCATAAACAACTCTACCTAGGGTGCAATTCGGGCGGGGGACGGGTTGAGAGGTCAACCCTGTCCTAACTCTAAATATATAACCTTAACTTTAACCCTAATTTTAACCCTATTTTAACCCGAGTATTGCTCGAATTTAATTCGGACGAACTCGGATTGAATTCGGGCTAATTTTAGGTTAAAAATTGAGTTGGATTTAAGTTACTTAATTCGGATTGATATTTTGAAATGTATATTTAATTTTTTTTTAAGTATAGATCTAATTTTTTCAAATCATTTGAAATAAAAGACAAAGAACAAATGAAGAGAGAGGGAAGAGTGATGAGTGCCAAAGAGAAGCTGAGAGTCCGAGTAACGATTGAGAGAGGGAGGAGTGACGAGTGAGAAAAGGATCTGAGAGTGATAGAGGCGCAAGAATAAAGACTTGAAGTGATGTGAAAGTCTAAACTCTAAAGAGTGAAAATAAATACTAACCCTAACTAAATATATTTATATACCTTCAGATTCAACCTGATTTTAATATTCAAGTTAAACCCAACAACCCGAAACTAACCAAATTCAATTCGGGTTAAAATTTTTTTGCCCAAACTCAATCCAAGTATTAAAAATTCTACCCCAAGCCCTATTTTTTTTGGGTTGGACTCAAGTTAAATTCAAATTAGCCCATCCAAATTGCACCCCTAACTCCACCGGACATGGTTTCGAAATCTAATCGATCCAAATCTTACCAGAATCAAAAAAGAAAAATTCAAAATCAAGAAATAAATCCTGTCTATTTTCTCTTATAAAACCAATAAAACAACACACTCATGTCTACGCTAACCCCTCCAATTCATTCTTCATGTTAATCGGTCATGTCATTCTGTAGGTTTTGGGTCGTGTTCAGGGTAGCATGGACACCATCAAATATAACTACATAAACCAGCGGTTTGCAGCTGCTTAGCATAATGTGTTTCCCTGTAAATGCGTGCATACACCATTGTTATAGCCATATTGAACTGCAGAAAGCTTTAGAGATCTAGTCTGGAGAGGCCAATAATAACATAATCAAATTCACAATATTTGGCTGTGTTTGTGCGCCTTGATATACTACGAAAAATATAGACGAAACAAGCAGAACAGGGTTACACATAGTGCTAGGTAAATCATCCTAAAGATGAAACATAATAATACATCCAACGACCTAGACTGTGTACGCCATGAACATTCCATAGAAAATAATAAAGCTTCCCCCCACTCTTTCCAATAGCAAAACAGACAAACTACTTAACAATGAACTGATTGTGTTCCAACATAAGTTCTGAACTCACAAAGATAATAAAATACTAGGAATCTCCCGAAATAACCTTTTAGTAGCAATTTCTTAATCAGCAACAGAAAAATGTGTTCACGCTAGATATGACAAAGAAAATCAAATTCTTGTCTCTCCTAATCAGTCCACCACTTTGACTCAAGAAGAAGCTCCACTGCGTAAAACTTGATTCTTCTTTGTCCTCCTAGGAGCCAACTGAGTCTCAGGCTGCAAAATAATCAATCAACATACATGGGAGGGCAACTCAAGGTCACATAAATCATTACAACAGAACCAACTAAGATGGAATCAAATGCAAAACAATGCACACATGAGTACCGAATCCCTTTCTCTAGCTCTTTAACTTAAAAAAAAAAAGTAATTACCTCCTTCTGGACAGATTCCTCCTTTTCAGATAAAATCAATTCGATATGGCAGGGAGATGACATGTAAGCTGCAACAGCAACAAAGCTTGATATTAATCACTCTAAATAACCAGGAGGATGATAAAATACTAAACTGCATGAGGGCAGGACGCCACTCACGGTTAATTCTTCCATGGGCACGATATGTGCGACGCCTCTGCTTCTGTGCTTGGTTAACCTGGATGTGTGATATGTATAGCGAATCCACATCCAAACCTTTCACCTAAACAATAAATTGAAGGCAAAACACATCTTGTCAGCGAGGGAAAAGGGAATGGGGGGTAATTAAACTGAAAATAACTAACAGCAATACATACGTCTGCATTACTCTCGGCGTTCTTCAGTAAATCAAGAATAAATCTTGCTGATTTGACAGGCCAGCGTCCTTGTCCATTGGAATGGCGATTCTTCGCCTGGGCAGTACGCCCAACTCCACGACAGAAGCGTGTGAATGGAATGGCTTGTTTGTGACCAAGAACATCCTCCAAGTACCTTTTTGCCTTGACCAAAGGCAACTTCCGAATTGCATGGGCAGTCTCTCTTGTATTCTACAAGTAGATAATAAACATAGTGTGAGAAGAAATGAATGCAGCAAAAGTGGGCCTAGTATTACGTTCAGAAAGAACCAAACATGCAGCTATGCTTCATCTACCCCCACAAATTATTTATGGGAAACTGCAGCACATGATTGCTATATCCTAGATAACATAATGAATTCGATTATAACCATCATACCATTCAAAACGGCAACTACCAAATAATAAAGTGAAATATGCATTCAATAGATGACAAAAAAGGGGTTTCCAATCAGCGAACCACTGTTCTCAATTGCCAAATAGCAAATTCAATGATGAGTACTTACACCTAACAAACAAAGATGGGGAATACTAAGGAAAAATTTAAAACGACAGCTGCAAGATGTTTAAACAAGAAGTTTGTCTCATGTTTTCCAAATCATTTGATTACCAAATGTTGTAATGCAGATCTCCATCATGGCTACTTAGAAACCAAATCCAATGCTCAAACTAAATCAGCACATTAACAAGGATGTCGCGTGAGAATGCAATCGGAATGTACCATCGTTTACTGAACCTTCTGTCACCAACAACAAATACATAGGTTCACCCAAAAACAATGTCAGTGATTTCCCTGAAGTTTACGAGAGACCCGCTCACAAAAAGGCAACGGACCCCTGCTTTTTTCATCAGGTTCAGCATCGAAGCTGACAACTCACGATCATAAGCACCACAAAATATACCCCCCCCAGGGGGGGATAAAACAAACAACTAATTTGATTCATTGTTACTTTGAAACCTGCTCATACCATATACTAACAAATGCCACAAAAACATCGATTCTTATTTACACTTCTGCATAATCTCTTCAGTCATAATACAATTCCAATGATCTTAGTACAAAAAAACACATCTTTTCATGAAATATAGCAATCCAGCAAGCAACACACCGACGACAAAAAGGTAAACCCTTATGATTGAACTTGAACAAGAAAACAAGTTAAAATCCAGATAAACTTGCCTTAAAATGCACTCTGAGATCTGAGCCCCTGGCTTTGCAAGCTGAAATGCGCCCGTCAGAAAACAAACACAGAAATCAGATTCCAATTTCTGACAGCCGGAAAAAAAAAAATCGAAGTACTCACATTTTGTGGGGTTTTCGGGCTCCCTCGAATATTTAACCTGAAATTTTGAAAAACAAGAACAACAGACGGATCATGATAAAGATATATATATACACACACAAATACACAAATATATACGCACAAAAATACATATAATTCAGACTTCAAAAAGGACAGGGAAGAGAGAGGTTTAGGCAGTGACTTCAAGGAGACTGACCATGGCTACCGCCCCTGCTGCTAGATGTATTTGGCGCCCAACCCCCAACCAGAGAAAGAGAGAGAATACAAATTTAAGTGACGGAATGAAACCCTAGAGTTAGAGTTTACTGATTGAGCTGGAATTGGGCTTTTGTCAAGCATCTTTTTTTTTTTTTTTTTTTTGGGGGGGGGGGGGTGTACAATGTAGATAATTTTTGGGAAGGAATTGGGCTACGGGGGTTTAATGTTTGGGCCATAGTTGGGCTTTCTTTCGAAGGTTGTCTAATAGAATTGAACTTTTCTTCCGGTCCCAAAAATTTGTATTTTCCCCATTTGGCCCCTCTTAAATTTTTAGGATTTTTTGTAGACCGATACCTTACATAGGACTTGTTTGAATAAAAATACTTCAGTTAAAATGTTTAATAGAGAAGTATTTTTCTTTTCTTTTTTCTTGTTCCAAAAAATTGGAAACCGCCAGATTCTATTCACCATCTGCACAAAATCCGGCCACTAATCAAGGCTCCAAAACTCGATTTTTCAAAATTTGAACAAAATATTCTTCAAATTTCTTCAGTTTTCAACCATACACAAGCCACAGTCCTCCAAAAATAAATTAAGAGTTTCCTATTTTTATGGGACAATGAATTTAAATTTTAAATAACATATTCTTTCCCTTTTCTAAAATTTCTCCAACACAGTTATAATTTCTCTTTCCTAAAATCTCTCCCACATATCTATAATTTTTTATTCCTTACATTTGTATATAATTGGCTCTATCTAGAATTCTCTCTCTGTATATTAACTATAAATTTTAGCCTAAAATATTTCCATTAATTAGCTGAAAATAGTATCACTGTATATTGTTATATTGTGATGTAACAATGTTATTCATTAAAAGTAGGGTTAATCTCAAATTGCATCGTTAGTTTGCCGTCTAAAGTTAAATGGATAAACTATACCCAAACCTCTTACATTTAAAATATTACACATATATTCCTTGAGAATCCAAATATGACTAAAAATGTTCCCCCAATTAGGCATTCAAATAATTTTGTTTAAGTGACGTATTGCATTAAATATAAAGAACATTATATAAACACTTGCATTATATTGAACATTCAAATGGTAAGCTTGATTTTGAATTTTAAGAGTATAACGGACTCACAAAATAAATGGTAGTATAAAATTATAATTTTTTATTAGAATGAAATTATATATTTTAACGTTTATATTAACAGATATCAACGACAAATGGTTATGTGTTACACGTACACAAACGTCAAGAGGTGTAGAAGTAATATTCTAAATGTGAAGGAATCTAAATGATTAAGTGACAAGTATGAAGACATCAAGGTGTAATTTATCCATTTAGTTTTAGACAGCAAATTGACGGTTATTAATTTCAGGTGTGCATTGATACAAATTTTTATCTTTAAGGGTAAAAATTGAGATTTTTTGATTTTTGAGAGTATAAATTAAGATTCGAAACGATCTTTCAGTGTAGAATTTGCAATTAACCCTTAAAAGTTATATATATATGTTGCATTATGTGATGCATATTATTTAGATTGTGTATGATCAATAACTATAATTTCTCAACTTTTTATCAGTGATTAAAGTATTAATAAAGGTATTATACAATTATGTATCACTATAATATCACATTACATATGATGACCCTAGCTTCAAAATTGATGTTGATTTTGTTTAGATCTTAAATCATTTATGGATGATTTAGATGTTCAAAATTAAAAAAAAAAAAAAAAAGGAAAGAAAATATTCTAGACTAGAAAATTGTTTATCAATAAAACAAAATCCTCACATAAAAAGCAACTACTAAACTACAAACACCATAAAAATAGGAAAAAATGTATTATAGTAAGAGCAATGCTATAAAATTCAATTGAAATCCAAAAAGTTGTAACTCAAATGCATATCATCCCTTGAATGAGTGGTCACATCAATATTTTTCTCATACTCATCTAAGGGATATATGCATTTGGATTTTAACTTTTAAATTTTATTTGCGTTATAGAGAATTACATGATGACAATATTTTTATTCTTCTCTTTATTATAGGAAAATGTTACATAACAAGGTGCCTCCTCACAATTTTTCGTGATTTTTTATTTTCAAAAATGCTACAAATTAGATGCAACTTGCACCATGAAAAAAGACAAACCAAACAAAAAAATAATAATAAATAAAACTCAGTGCAACTCAATTTCGACAGGAAAATTGTAGTTGAACCAATATGTTTGTTTTGAATTAGCAAAAGCAAACTCAATCCCATACGAACATCAGATGAATTAATTTTACTCATTTTAACTCATAAATATATTCGATACTCTTGCGTTATTGCATTTCCTACCTATCATCCGACAGATTTAAACCTTTTCTAACATGTTTTTGTTTAATATTTAATGCAAGTATATATTGTATTCAATGGGTCCACCAACAATATAGTTAGTGATTTAACATTGATAAGGATGCAAAATTAAGGCATGGGCTCCACATAATCCAAGAACCCAATAAGTCTAGGAACCTTTTGATTATCAAACAACACAAATAGGGGGTCCACAGCTTGCCCCGTCAGAATTCTAAAAGGCTGGGCTCTAGGAGGAAAAACCCAACTTCACTAGAAGGCTGGCAACCTAATCTTGTTCGGTCAATGAACAGCCCAAGGTAGAGAGGCTCAGCTTTATACGAACTCCAAAGCACCCCATTGTGCCTCGTGTCCAAATGGCAAGGGGACCATCACTGTCACCCCCAACAATCACGCACCCCCAAATGCAGAGTGTACTAGTGCGCATAACTATCTAGAGATCATAGGAACCGTGGTGCCGGATGAACAATGGCGTTGAATGATAGAGGTTGCTACAGGGTACAAACAGGGAGACCAACGAAATCAACACAAAAGAAAGAGGGGCAACAAGAAACCCTAGAGGAGTCTTTGTACAAGTAAAGAAGTGTTACCCAAGAGGGGCAGTTTCCTCTTCTCCATTATTCACGTTTTCAAGCCAAAAACCTAGTAATTAGAGCAAAACACACAATCCATGTAAAGAACCCCCGTGTCTAAATCATCGTTGTACTGACCAAGGATTAAGCAATATATGACCTCAAGGGGTAAAAAACTCCATTACAGTGAACGTAATCTTAATTATTCAGTTAAGGTGAACCATTTACATCTTGTGCTCTTTCAGTCTCCTATGATTAATCACCTAAACATAAAATTACAATCGAATCCTTGATACCTCATCAGTTTGGGCTTGAGCCGTTATTTTGGAGCATCATCAAACATACTATCAAAAATTGAGAAAAAACTACATGCTATGAAAAATATTATGATTATGGTAATTGATCTAACATTATGATACCTACTGTACTCAAGTAGGTAGACAAATCAATAGATAATTAGTAATCTAACATTACCAAAAAACTCAGGAAATAAATAAATATATATATATATATATAGAAATCCTCACCAAGTCATGTGCCTTGATTAGTTATGCAAAAATCTATATGACATATATGAATTTCCCACATTTTAAATGGTTGACCTTCGTATGGATTTGATCTATAAAATCACATAAAATATATTATCCTTTTTTGATAGGACTTTAGGCGGTTCGACAACCGTAAGTTGACACGTGGATCATTGTAATCGTTTTGGAGCGCAAAAGGCACGTGGAGGAGGTGTCAATGAGTTTTAGCCTTGGGGAGGCTGAGTACATCCATTAGACTCTAGCATTAAAAAAGATATGACAATTCATTAAACAAGGTCTTAAGTGGCTGTAAGTCATTAAATGCGCATCCAAGTCTTCGAGAAACGTGAAAACAATCATCATTATAAAGTAGTAATTGTCGTAACACCGACCCATTGTCCTTGGTGAAACCTGATGGGTGCTTATTCCTGAGCAATGAATGCTCGGACGTAGGTGTCAAGCACTGAGCATAGGTATTTAATGACCGTGGATAGGGTTATAAAGGCTCAGTGGGTCCCGAGCAAGGGTTTGATCCCCCGAGTGGATCAGTCTTGAGAATATTTGATGGGATAACACTAATTATACATGGATATGAGTGCAAGCCATTAAATATTAACATGAGACTCAAAAATCTTTCATCATTGCTAGCCTAGGTATAAATACTCCTCAGAAAGCTAAACAAATGTACACAATTCTAAATCCAGAGAATACATTGTTTTGATGTCTCCAATGCTGACTGACTTGAGTTTCGGAGGGGATTAACTGAATGTTTACCCGATCCCTTTCCTAATTCTTTGATTGTTTCAGGCTCATAATCTAGCGGATCGCTATCTCAACATATTGCAGGTAAACACCTATGCATTTTCAATCCTCAATCTTTGCCTGTCGTTCACAAAACTTCAAATTTAACTTTGTAAGATAATCAAAAAAATAAAATAAAAATCTTACAATTAATATGGAGATTGGGTTTGGGGGTGGGGGATGCACATCACACATGGTCCAAAACTTTATTGTATTGTGTTTCTCAAGCCTACTAATCAAAGACATCAATCTTAGGTTTATTCCTCAAATTGCGAGCTATCATCACCTAAGGGAATTTTTGTTCATTAAATTATACTTTTTTCACGATTAAATAATTGTACGGTGAAAAGAGAAGATATTTATATAAGGCTCCTAATCAGGAGTAAATATTAGATGTAACTTCACTATTGTCACGTAGTGTTACAATTCAATAATAAATTTAAGAATGCATAAAGTGAACCCCACTTAATAGTTACTTTTATATATGAATAAGGTAGTTACTAAAAGATGTAGGATCTACTTGACTAAATGCTGATTCGTTGTTGGATAATGATACTACGGGATAATGATAATGTGATATCACTGTTATATTCAAAAAATTTTCAACTCGCCCTAATTGTCGAGTAAGTATTACATGTAACGGTTATCCAATATTGACTCCTAATTGTCACTTGCCTAACATCTTTATAGAGAGTTGCTCAATACACTCCAGCCTACAAAGTACAATATGGTTTGAAAATTCAAATCACGTGGAATTATCAAAATAGAAAAAAAATAAATTTTAAATATATAAAAGTGAGATCAACAATATCGTTTTGATAATGCCATGACATTTGGTCCTGTTTTTTAATTC